GAACATTGCGGTAACAAATTGATCAACATGAACCCACTAGACAGAATTTGCCTTCGGTAATAATAAAATGAAAAACGATGACGCCTATTTCCTTTACGCAAAACAACCATTAATTTACTTAGAGAGGGGCAATTTGAATAACATTAGCAACGTTCGTATTTTGGCATTTCGCGCTTAGGTTTGACCAGAACTGGAAACCGCCTTGGAAAAACAAAGCGGATTGCAGCATTTTAAATCAGAGTCCTCATTACTCAAACTGCACAACCCGCTTTTTCCGATTATCAAGATGACGGAGTCTGAGCTTAATAAGTTATTATATAGCAGTACGTACGCACAAAATGTGTATATGTATGATTATTTCGAGAGTTTACTCTGGGTAAAAATACTATGGTGCATTAGGGAATTGAAACGTTCTGTTTTATATTTTAGTCTTTTGAACTTTATAATATACCTGCTTATAGTGTCGTAAGGAACCGTTCTCGCACTACAGACCTCATGTGATGAAAAGCCTCGATATCGATGTTTCGCTCAAATCATTAGAGGTTTGCAGCTTCTCGACTTGCTGGCTGTGTATTGCAACATCAAACAGAGTTCAGCTTTTTGCGGACAAATGACTTTGCAGTTTTTCTGTATAAGGTTTTTAGTAATAGAAACATCTAGTCATCTATCTGATATAACATGAAAAGGCAACAAAAAGTCTTATTGAAAGTTTGTAGCTGTTTCAGCGTCATGGCCCTTTATCCGTTCGATCCCACAACCAGGACAGTTGTTTTGTATTCAGTTTAGGGCCCAAAAACAATAGGCTTCGCAGATTGATTTTAATAGGAGCAGCAGCAGCAGCCGCAGCATTGATGAATCGATTCTGAGATCACTCTACTTTTCCTATTTTATTAGAATCTTTTGGTAGGCGAAACGAGCGGGTGGGCAGTACAGCTTTTCTTGAATTTTCTCTTGCATCTGTCGTCCTTGTCTCTCTTTCCCTGCTCGTCTTATTATCGTTTCAACAGATGGCAGCGCCCACTTTGCCCTTGGGTACTCCAAGTCCAAGTTGTCCTGCCCTGACCGTCTGGCTGTGCTGAACTATCGTTCATTCATTGATTGCTTTGTAAGCGGATTCTTGTAAGTGCTTCAGTAGAAAAGGTGACTAGCAGCGGAGCCACACAGGTAGAAGTCAAAAGGCCGGCCAACTACAGCAATGTTCCAAGAAAAAGCAAAAAGTTTGCGGTGGGTGTGGTCGCCTGCTGGACCTGTTTACAACACCTGTCGCCTTCCCGCTTTAACAAGTGCTATCGCTTTCACTATTGCAATGGACGTCCACTACTAGACCTTCCCAGAAGTGTACTTAGGACGTGAATGCAGAGGCAACCCTTTAGCGACAGCTGTATACGCGAATAACTCTTTAGTAAAGCATTGTTACAGTTCCGCAATCTGTTTGGTCAGAAATTCACCCTGGAGATGAAAAACGCCGTGCAGTGTAGCGCTCATTATGATAACAGTTAGGTGGGCAATAGTTTTTCTAATACCTATTTTTGTAAAGGGCACAAAACGTAAACGAGTTATGCCCTTGAGTAACCGCAATTATAAGAATATAAGCACAAGATGATCCTTACTTATTCGCAGATTGAATCGAAGAAACAATTTTCTTGATTAAGTCTAGGTTTGCCTAAAGACAGTAAATAGCACTTTGCAAAGCTACCTCATATCCACCAAGATCGTTAACGCCACTGCCAGAGACGCCTGAACTACAGTAAACAATTTGTCGGATTTATTTTGGGCGGATTCGTATATATTTGTCTCTCCGGATTAGGTAAATCATCGAGGGGTAGTCTTAACCCGGCACAGGATCCGTCATTGATATAGTCTCTCGCACTCAAATCTATTTTAGTCATATCTACTATAATAGTCCTTAGCGTACTGATATATTTGGGAAATTGTCCTCTGAGGAAACAGTCTGTTCTCTTATAGACTTGTAGATTTTCAATTGTCCTAGAGCTATGAGGTGACTTCCCTTACTCTGTACCTGTTGACACTGCAATGCAGATGACGGCTGGAACTTCCACATGTGCTTGAGTAAAACTGTTGATTTGTTTATTAGCGAACTGCCTTAATACAAATTAGACCTAAAACCTCTGTATATAGCTTAAGCGTCTCAGTATACAGTTTCTTTTAATTCAAAGCTTCAAGAGTTCTCATAGGGCGGATCGTGAGGACTTTGATAAACCGTATAATTGCACACATAATAGTAATAATAATAATAATAAAACCTATTCTTGCTTCTACCAAAAAAAAACACAACGATTGCAATTCGGTCCTTTGATTCGCATTAGTACAACGAAAACCGTAGCTGGTAGCTTCAGCTTCATGTTTCTAGATTCGTTTGTCCGCAATGAAGTGTTTACTTACCTATCGCGATGTGCCTCTCGATTGCTCGCACTGCAGCCTAGACAAATATCGAGATGAACATAATTGCAAGTGCTATAGATTGTCCATTTTGTCGTCCAGCTGTGACATGCGCACGTGCATGAGTCGTGCTTCGTCAATGGTATATTCCTCGATTATTTCGCTTAGCTCTAGCAACGTCTTGTTTTAGCACATAATTCGTCGATCTATTAAGTAGTAAGGAAATGTAAGCGTCTTACCAATGGCGGCAGTATAAGTTCATCGTCGTTACTATTCTTGGGCGCAATTTGTCTGTCACAAACTTTCTTTCAGTAGTAAAATAACAACCCTATGGACCGTGCAGTGCTTAAGCCGGATTAAAATTATTAGTCGCAGCGTCTGCACTCTTGTTAGCAGAAGCCACAGCTAACATAACCTTGGAACCCACTTTGTTTTCCTTTCACAGAAACTTTAAAAACAACGGATTTCCATAAGCAGTGTTGGGAGCGAGGAAGCCGCGTTTCTTATATAGCATATGATAAGCAAGACGATTAAGCTTATTTGTTGCAAGCCAGGCTGACAACGAATGAACCGCGCCTCCTTTTTCGGAGAAAGTAACGAAGAGAGCTATCGGGAACGAACCGCAATGAACGCGATCCGAACGCTGAGGATTTCCTTGAAGTATTTGTTCGACTAAAAGAATTGAACGGTCACTAGTGAATGGCTGGCCGCGGGCGAAAATGGCCACAAGGTCATTCGTATTCACGCTGAGAGACGGTGAGTAAAGTGAAAGTGCGAGAGGATCAACACATGAAGAGAAAAGAAGTCTATTCGCGAAGCTTCTTTAACTATATCGCAGTCTATTCTATGTCATAAACAAAATTTATAGCCGTAGCATGTTTCTCAACGGAGACAGAACGTCTAACAAGTAGCCTAGCTACAACGAAAATAGCGAAGAAACCACAACAGCAGAAGTAACAAGCATTACTTCAGCTTCAGCACCACAAGATCGGATCTGAAGTAACCTTAACCTTGTCGCAAAGCACAACTGCAGCCTTGCAGCGAAAACTGTTTCACCCACAAGATGATAACGCAAAAAAGGAACGAGGGAACAAAAATTGACGTAACGATTGACTTCGGTCAAAGACAAAAATAATTCCGGATCGTTCAGCATAAAAAACCCTGCCAAACAATATATGCCGCAACGTAACTAGATCGTGCTTGTGGCGATAATATCAACGAAACGGTGGAACAATTCGGATAAGTTGTTAATTGAGAAGAAGCGGAGCGGTAAGTGGCAGCAAAGTTTTTTACATACACATGCTGCTATTACTGTTTTGCTGACTATATATATATAATGTATATATTGTTATGTAGTGACCTGATCATGAATAAATGCTCCACAACTTCTTCCTCGCTGGTACTCAACATTCACTGCTCGTAAGCAATTTCCGCTGTACCTTACCATTGAACCTCACATAAAAGGCCTACAGCGTTGACGTACTTCGACAGGGGGCAATTGGCCAACATGGACAACATACCAACGAGCATTTTTAGTGTAGGTTTATACCTTTTAGGGAATATCTAGAGCTGTAGTCGTACGATAATATAACGGTATTTGTGTACCTTTTCTTATCCTACAAAATTCCACATTTCCCGTACAGGCACTATCGCCCACTCATTAAATCCCGTATCATTTGTTCCGAGCCAGCATCAATATGCAGGTAACCCGGAGGTTAGCGATTGTAGCGTGGGCTTCAATATAAAGGGAGAGCCGACGGGGTCGTGTGGAAGGCACTACAAACCCATAAAATGACAAACCTCCACATCGATGTACTGAAAAGGGGCAGTCGCAGCATGAAGGGAAAGAGCATATGCGAGCCCTATTAGCATCGCTAACAGTTGCCCTCCCTCGGCAGTATCACATATGCGTTCCCAAACTCTCTTATACTACCGTTATAAATCCCATGAGACGTTCTTAACTCTAATGTGCGCTATTAACAAACAGCTAAGCCTTTGAGCTAAATAACCTTTACACTCTTTCGAATAGCGGCGAACCCTACACAACGCATTCGAGCGCCATGACTAGGTGCTACATACGTAGACTGAACTCGTTTTCTTATTGGCGGGGAACATCACTCAAATCTCTAGCTTAATCAGGTAGCGTTAAAGCCGGCAACGCCTGGTCGCTGTACCGATCGAATTGCACTGGAGGCTTTTTTGGCCTATCTGCCCGCGCCCTATCAGGGCTTAAAATCCATCTATACTTTAATTGAACAAATACGCTATTCACTGACGCTCAGCCAAGTTTGCTTCGCAGTAAGAGAGCAATTTTCGGAAATTTTCTTTCAGCTTGTTTCGATATTGCTATATACCGTGAGGATGAGACGCACTTAGCTGTCGTTTTTAGATGCCTATGCAATGGAAAACCGCAGCTAAACAGTCGATACGCGTCACCTCTACAAGGTTTGATCTTTCTCAAGAAAGGAAACAAATTTCCCTTCTAAAAAGCTAGCCTGGATATTCGAAACAGGGCCTAGTTAAAAACAATTGACGGCAATGCGAGAGTTAAACCAAAGTACAACGCAGACGTGCGTTAAATGACAAACAGAATAACTTACCCTCGCCATGGTGGACTCGTGAAAGTCGACGGTCATATCTTCCTGGGGGCCCTGCAAGATGACACGCAGAAATATTTTAGATCATCTTAGTTGTCCCGTTTGTGCTTTCGGCAGTAGAAGACTGAATTTCTTAAGTAGATATTGCTGGTGATCGTGGACACGAGGGAGATAAAAAAAAAAAAAGAAAGACAGGTTCATATGACGCATCTCTCACTCACTTTTCGTTTTGATATACGTACTATTCTCTCCATTCAGAGACGGAGCCTAGATGCGATCAGCGACAAGGCCTATTGGATTGTTTTCTATCTTATAGATATTCAATCCGCTTGCTTTACTCAAAAGTATTAGTCTAATTTTTTATTTTAATTTATTGGGTTATTTCGTGATATAAAAGAAAAGCAGATGCCAATTGTCAGATCATTCACTTGTAGGTGAAGGTCTAAACTCTCGGATACGACGACAACACCAATATAGGCTGGGATCAAAGCCCTGTTTGTCTTACATGCCTAATTTACATCTAGAATAGGTGCGTCATAAAAGCCACTCTTATTTATATCTATGCGCACTTTAGATTTCAAGACTGCAGCTGCAGCAGCAGCAACACATGGAGAATTGTGCTGGTCATCACGCTTGCGAACGCGGCAAGAAAGACCATTTCTCACCTGATATCGGGCCATTAACGGGTTTCAAATTTTCCGCGTTTCACTTATAGCATAGCGCTTACGAGGACTTGTTGACGTATCATGAATTGTAAGTACTGCTAAAAAAAGAAGAAAACGCTACAATCAGCTTTTACAAACGAGCTCGTTGATTTCTCCGTTTATTCCTTATGTGCTCTATGACGTACTCTGGGTCAAGTGCGGGAATTTTGGACTCAACCACTAGCCCATTGTTAGATTATTGCTGGCTCAGTACCGAACAAAAGGTGGCCCTTAACGCTGCGGTCTCTGAAGTTCATGTCTGACCAGAAATATAACCTAACGATCTGCGTAAACATATGTTGTCGTGTCATTATGCGTGGTGCTACTATAACACTTACATACTTTTAACCAAAGCTCTGTCGACAAGTAAGGGGTCATCATGCACGTAACGTTAAGGCATAGCTAAGCGCAGGAATTGAACGGATAAGTTTCTCTTTATTAAAACCGCACCACATTTGAATGGGAAGATCTGAAAGGCTGTTGGAAAAAGAGCACTTTGCATCTGATTGCAGCATTTACTTTCTGTCGTCTATGCCCGTAACAGACGACAGCTGCTCTCGAAAATTGCAATGACCTGCACGAATCTTGTTGATTTTTGTTTTTATAATGAAACGTTCTTAAAATTTGTGGTTGTATTTTTTTTTCATTCATACAACCCTAGACAGTATATTACTACTATAGTCATTGACATTTCGGATTTTATGATAATATAGAAAAAAATATTCTACAGTCCATTCCAACAGTCACTATCGATGACCAGACTATTAAGCTGGAGGTAAAATTACCTATATCTAGTCTCTGGGTTGCGAATACGAAATATGACATATCAGCAAATCACCCGTTACATCATGTTTGATTTCGTTACTAATATAACATTGATTGCATGGGAATACCTTCGCACTAGGCCAAAGCGAAGGGGAGATGAATAATCCTGTATAAGAAAAACCAACGCACTTATGTTTCCTACATGTGTCCTACAAGAGGACAAGGGCGTTAACCGCATGCAAGGCACTTTACTTGTAACGGAAGCGTCGCCAAAATCATCTATAGAAGCTGGTCTCTGATCAGAATTTTTTCTTTTGAGAGATGGACACACTTGACCCGTTGTGACTAATGCGTACGTGGTTTCTACAACAAATGCAGATCTTTCTTAACAGAATGACCTTCGTCCGTACAATGTAATGTAGTTTTTGGATTATTTAAGCTTACTTGAAGTGTCAACTTAAATACGAGACGTTTCAAGGGGTATTTCAATGGTATTTGCTGTCACTGTATTGTTTTGATCTACTTAAAGCGAGTTGATACATGTTCATCATTGGACCATAGATCTGAAAAAAAAAACAGTTTCACGCACTGGTACTTATTGCCCTGTATGTACTGTAAGACTTCGTACTCATCCATAGCATGCCTGGTTTCTTACGCAAAGTTGTAGAGATCACAATCAGTAGTGAGGATTTCAATGTACCACACCAAATTATACGTCTATTTTATTCATCATTAATCATTTCTTTAAGTGCTTCACAGGGTTCACCTATAGATGACTGCACATAATATCTACTAGGTGTACTTCATGTTGATATCCGTACTTTTTGTGAGTACACAGGCAAGTGAAGTTTACGCGTTTTCTGAAGTCGAGTTGCGTGATTGAAAATTTAATATTGACGAATACAACTAAAATGCCTTGAATCAGGGTAAACGAAGGAATTACTTGCCCTGGGACAGAGCAATGAGGTTCACTTAACGTCGGTAAGCGGCTTCATTGATTTCGACATAGCCAATGGTGCAACGATTCAAATCTTTTTTCTTACTCGATGAATTCTCCTTGACTACATTTGAAGGACAAAAACTAGCATGCAAAATTCTACCTTTGCTTCAGTTATTCCGCATTCTGTGCTATACAAAATTCTATATTCCTACACACACATAGTGAGATACAAATTATTATCTCTACTTTGTTTAACGTAGATGATCATGTGTATAACGTAACCCTTTATACGTTTGTGCTGAAGGCCATATATTAACAAGTTCGACCACTCTGTAACGAAAATCCATCTGAATATTTCAAGAAGATTTGAGGTCAAACGTGCGACCCTGGTCTCCCTTTTATCCATACCATCTACTCGAAATCATAACAAATAAAATATATTTCGCAGGCATATATCGTTTATGATATAATATCATATCATATGATATAATATTGTTTGTAGGCGGTTCCTCCTCTTAGTCCTATATACGATAACTCCGTCATAGTTTGGTGTATTATGCAATGTCGATGAAGTAGGTAGTCGTTCCACGCTGCTCGCATTGGTTTTTTGCAAAGTCCAATGACAATCGCCGTCCCCTGTGACACCGACTTCACCGCATGTCCATCCGGCAAAATCCATTACTATCCACTAAGCAATAACAGTAGCAACTTATTCTGTTATCGGTCATACATAAGGAACTCTTCCGGTTAGATAGGGTCCTGAATAGTACACACCTGACGGGATAAACCTGCCCACATTCCACTGCGTATTTTCTGCTGAACCTTCTATGGCCTTGGCCGCGTAGATGTCAGCTTTCTTCCCTACTGCACGATTTGTCGCACTAACGTTTGGCCTTCCCCAGGTTCCCACGTAATGGAAAGCGTCTCTGTGTGATAAAAAATAACATTACCCATCTAAAAAAGGACACAAATGTGCTCAGTGACTTATCTTAGCTGAAACTTTTTATCTGCCAGCTGTTTTGATTGGTGATGCGTTTGGCTAGATTTATGTTAGCTCCACAGAATCAATCACCTGTACGAGCTAGGTAGTGTCCTCCGTTCGCGAGAGGATGTATTATAATTTAACTAGACTAGGTAAAATTTTATTGTTAGCTACTACTGCTGCTCCTACAACAATAATCGCGGCCTCTGCTAGCAACCTATTATAACAATTCCTAGCTTATGATGTGTAAAATTGCTTTTTTTAGGTTCATATCTACATTTGTTTGTGTAGAAGGCCATATTAATCTTACTTCGGGGCTGTACCTTGGATAAGTAACAGCTTGGGAAGCAACCACAGCCGTAGAAAGCAATATAAATGGACGTTAGTCTCCTCCGATCTCCTGTAGAATTATGGGACACATACATTTGATGGTGTGTCAACACGTACGAAGCTAGTGGCCACCCTAATGTCTCTAAGCGGTGGTGCGACCTCGTTGTCAAACGAAGCTAATGAGAGCCAAGTTTAGCTTACGACCAACTAAAACAACAGTACGCCCGACGGGACAAAAAAGGAAATTCAGCCCAACCCATACACAATAAGGGGTCGTTTTCGGTTAAACAGGTCTGCAAAATTAGACTTTCAATAGAACCGTAAATAGTCGATACATGCTCCATCTCAGGTAGCAACGCGCATCACAAGAATCACTATGAAATGGTCTAACGAACATTCCTGAAAATAAGTGATTCATCGGTTCCAGAGCGCTCGTGGGTAGGAACAAAATAAACACAGTGTTTACTGAAGCATATCGGCGCGACGGTAATAGCTTGTACACACATGCGTAGCATAATGACTGTGGGCGATCGATCGGTCCTTTCAACAGGTCACGTAGATTGTAGCGAATTTTTCGAAATTATGAAGCCATAAAGAGGGCGTTATTAAGTAACATGTGTTCACAGCATAGAGACGTGTTTGCCGTAGCGTGCTGAGAATCAAAATCGAATGAAGAGATGCGGAGTTGAATCGGAATGTAGTAGTTTGAACATGACGTATTTTTACGTTTAGTGTTGCTTATCCTCCGGGGTCGAGAGAAGGCACAAAGCGGAGACTATTGTGGCACTCAGTGCTGAAAAATTCGGTTGACTTACTCTTAGCCTCGCACTTTTTTACCGGTGCTGCCAGGTGCAACAGGTGAAGTTTCCGTGACCCTTTTAAATGACTCTTCTGTGTTTTCTTTGCAGGGCTCATTTTTCCACCTATGTAATTAATGTGAGAAATAAGCTGCCGATCAAAATTCAATCATTAATTAGTTGGTACGGTTCGATATATTTAATGTTAATTGCACAGAATTCATGTGCCTAGGTTTCAAACGATTCAAGGAATCAGAATACGATAGAGTTGTCAGTCTGGCGTCGTTTCGAGCAGATGCCCCGAGGGCATCCTTAGCGCAATTGATCTGTACTGTGCAATTAACAGCCTTTCCCGTCATGATGTTTAGATGAATAGACGGATAAAATTAAACTATCGTATTCTTAGTTATGAATCTCCTTGGTCAAAGGTATGTACGCAGTATATAAAAGCAAAAAGTAGATGTGTCTTGGACTTCATATTTGTTTACTTAATTTTGTTATCTAACAATGCTTGCGTTATCTCATGGGTAAGGGTT